CACAAAATTGAATGCAAACATTACTCCAGAGTTAAAACTCAGAATACCAGCATAGGCAATTCTCTCATACAACCCCTGCAAGCACCACATTCCATAATTAAAAAGTAAACTAAACAACAACAAAGCTTCACATGTACCCAAAACAAAACAAAACAAAACAAAACACGTGACCTTCAAAAGAATAGGCCTGATCTCTCTAATTCTGTGAATAGTTCATTAGATAATTCTACTTTTCTTCCCTACTCACCTCAGAAAATTACTAGTTAAATTCTAAGTCTTGATTTTATATTGAAACAAACTTGCTTCTACATCTTAAGGAGACAATGAAATTAAATGAGCAGGTTGGAAGAGAAACAAATAATAGGAAATAAATTATAGATGTAGCAGCATTTCTCCAACCACCTGGTAACTGAAATTATAGAAAGACACCAATCTTGGGCTCCGAGATGGTCATGGGGAAGTCATTTTACAAGCAATATTTTTTTCTCTTCCTAAGGTCATTCTTTCATACACTGTGACTCCAAATTTCAAAGGCAAGGGCACAGAATGAAGCGACCCTTTCCATTCTTAATTCTGCTATACCACAATGATCAACTGATTCCTTTGAAGTGCCTTTCATAAAACACACTAGTAAAATAATCGCTTATCTTGCAAAAAGACTATATATTTTACCTGACAAAAGATGCTCTGGTTAAATTCCTACCGATTTTTATATGCTATTTATAGTTCTAATACCTAGAATTTTAGAACAAGGAAAAACTGGTAAAAATGCCTCATTCATTGCAGAAAATAGATAAATGCTAAAGTATGTAAAGTAAGAGAAAACTGGACATGTATCCTCCTAAGTCTTTTTTATAAATATATACAATGATACATTAATATATGCTCTTTCTTACTGTTAACTACTTCTTAAAATACATATATACAAATATAAATTGTACTTCAATAATATAAGAACATACCATAAATATTACTTTAAAATTTTTCATTTCACGATGTATCATAAACATTTCTGAGTCAGTCTGTATGTATATATATTTTTCCCTTATAAATAATATTCTCTCTGTTCATCATTTATACATTAATTTATTTATTCAACAAATATCTATTAAGAATTCATTATGTGTCAGGCACTACTGTAGGCACTGGGAAAATAAGAGATGAATAAAAAAACACAGAGAACATTCTAGCAGGGAAGGGGGGTTACCAGGGGAGACTGAGTGAGGAATGTACCATAATATACTTAATCAATTCCTACTGAGGGTCCTTTATATCCCGTTTTTTTGTTTTTTGTTTTTTTGTTTTTTTTGCTTATAAACCATGCTCTACTAACTCTGTTCATACTTTACTGATGACTAGTGGGAATATTTCTGAGATTTAAAATTCTGGGGCTACAATTAATTAAGTTAAGGGGTATGAGATTTTACAAATTTGATAGGTATTAATAAGTTTAGGTTATGTCATTTTATAGTTCCATAAACAATACATGACATGTCTCTTTCCTCTCTTGCTGTTTCTTTTATTTATTTCATTTCTGTCAATCTTAATGTGTTCATTTCTTTCACCTTTAGTAAGGCCGAACATCATTCATAGGTGTACATGCTATTTAAATTTCCTCTGTGAATGTTATTCAAACGCTTTACTTATTCTTCTATTGGGTTCTGCATCATTGACTCATAGGTACTTATTACATATCATAGCTATTTACTCTGTTACAGTGGCTGTAAATATATTCCTACCAGTTCATTATTAGTTTTTGGTTTTTGGCTTTTTTATAGGCTTCACGACCAGTGCAGAGCCCAAAGCAGGGCTTGAACTTACTCACCACCCTGAAATCAAGACCTGAGCTGAGATCAAGAGTCAGATACTTAAACGAATGAGCCACGCAGGTGCCACTCATTGGTATTTTTAACTTCCTTATTATAGTTGTCATCAAACAAAGGCTTCCATCATCATAAAGTCAAAGATGCCAAACTTTACGGCCTCAAGTTTCAACAGTAGGGAATGCATATAAAGGCACTCATGACTACAGTAATTTTTAAAAACCAATGATATTTTCTTCTGGTACATTTAAAGTTTTATCATTCCTTTCAATAATTATAAAGTTAAATCTAAACTGGGGGGAGACCTGGTCTAATTCATAGCCAAACCAAGATACAGAACACCATTATTCTCTTTACTACAGCATTCAAGAGATTTGTTAAAATTCTTTTCACAGACATACGTTAATTACAGCCTAAAACAGGTATTTACCTATCTATAACAACTTTTTAAAAAAGTTTATTTATTTTTGAGAGAGAGAGAGCAGAAGTGGGGGAGAGGCAGAGAGAGAGGGAGACACAGAATCTGAAGCAGGCTCCAGGCTCTGAGCTGTCGGCACACAGCCTGATGTGAGGCTCAAACTCATGAGCCATGAGCTCATGACCTGAGCCAAAGTTGGAGACTCAACCAACTGAGCCACCCAAGTGCCCCAACAATTTTCTCAATAAGCTGACGAATTCCACTAAATTTTTATTCTCTTTCACTATTAAAAGTAAATAGCTCTCTAGTTTACTGGCTATCCTCTAAAGTGGCTATTCTCAGTATAGCACATTGCCTTTCAGGACAAAGATTCTGTTATGCCATTAAAATTTTGAGATGGGAGTCTTTTCTAAATTTCCTAGGAAAAAATAAGCTGGAGAATAGAAACTTGTCAATTAAAGACTCTCCCCTATTTTTTATAAAGCTTTGATACCTATTTCTTATTTACTAGAAAGCATTGTCACGTGGTAAAAATAAATGAACAGATAAAAAAGGAATGTTTTTTAAAGATACAATAACAGTAATGCAGATTGTGAAAGGTTTTCTTTATTGGCACATATGACTTTACTATTTTATTAAATTTATACAACTTTATTTTCTGCAGGTAAAACTATTCCTACTCCAAAAAGTACTACAACACTCAGGTGTTCTTCTACATATACAAGTTTGACAACAAAAACTCAATTACTGTAACTTTCTTAGAATCTGTTTTCTACAAATTAATGGCCCCTGGTTTAGAGATATGGACACTATACCAGTCTTTCACAAATGTAACAAATAGCTCTAGGCCTTTTTTGTGTAAATATTCTGAAGTAATATTGGCTTTCCTAAATTTAAACAGAAATGTCTAAGAATGTTTATTCTATAAACACATTTGTAGGGACTATTCTGAACATTTAATAACAGTTTGCTAATTATGAGTAGGTTTGGTGTATTCAAGATATTTTAAAAGTTCGAAACAAAGACAAAGGTTCATCATCTTTAATTATCAGTATCAGGAATTCATTTCAAAGGCAATGAGGTAAGTTGTAAAAATCCTGATTCAAATATTACAGAAAAATGATGTCTATAGTTTACTCTCAAGTGGCTCAACAAGAACAACTATAAGAGAAAGAGAAGAAGAATTTGATTCTATGTGTACATGTACTGAGAGGCACACAGAGGAAGGAGAGAGACAGACATAGTAACAAGTGTGAATCTGGTTGATGTATATACAAGAGTTCACAGTAGTATTCTTGAAACTCTTCTGTAAATTTGACTTTTTAAAGAAAAGATTTAAGATAGAGAAAAATTAGAAAGCATATACAGCTTTTGGTCTTTCTATGAGGACAAACCTGTCTTGGGCAGAGTGGATGAGGTTACACTCCCCTTTGGAATCGTCAGCATGCAACACAGTGATGCAAGGAGCTCTCCCCACCCATTTTCCATACTGTCACCCTCCACTCTCAATGCACAACCAACCAGCTTTAAATTATAAGAATCACAACCTATAGTTTGAAGCATAATACTCTTCCAGATAAAACATAATTACTTATAAAACAGTTAAGCATTTACTTTCGAATAAAGACTGAAGAAAAATCTCCAACTCTAACAGATGCTCTGAGTAAATTTAGAACTTAAACCTCAAAGAATGATATGGATGTGGCTAAACAGCAAATGAACATCAACTTTACACCAGAGCTTTCTTTGCAATATTTTAGTAGTAAATCAAATGGTATTTCTTCTCCTACAAGCATTTCTACAGAATCTAGCTTGACCAGTGCTCACTTCGGCAGCAAATATACTAAAACTGGAACGATACAGAGTAGAATCTAGCTTGACCAAAATCCGTACTATAACCACAGTACAGAATCTTATTTTTATGGAAATGCATCTGGATTTCTGACTCATCAAGACATACTAAGGGAAGCTACTTTTTAGGACCCTTCCTTGTCAGCAGCCAGCACCTCAAACCCTAGGTCTGATAAAAGGAGACACATTCTTAACTACATACTGAGGCAAGCAGGTGATGTAAGCAATTGAAGCAGAACAGGTAGGACTTGTGACAAACTAGCAAATTCATGACACAACTACAAACCTGCTGCTTAGTTCCAGTTTTATTGCTGCTACTGGAAAGTGCAAGACCAGAATTTACAGCCATTCCCATTTAGCAAAAGAAATCATAAACTTTATGCAAAAATTTACTAAATTTTATAGAATGAGAAACATCTTCAAAAATTCTTAAGAAACCATATGGACAAATAAAACATCTCTAAACATCTCTGCCCCAGAATCACATTTATAGCCATTGCCTTAAAGCAGTAACTTAACTTTCAAAACTACAAGTTTTGGATCAGTGGTAGAAAAGAGTAGGTATTAATTTGACTTTTTTGCATCTTACTTAACAGGTGAAATGTATATTATTTGAACTCGCATCTTAATATTTAATTTTTCAAAAACAAATCCACAAAAGCTAATCATAAAGGAGCCAATTCTTTCAAGAAAAATTTTACTGTTACTGATAAATCTTTAAGCCTACTGTATACAGAAAATACAATTATTTTTCAACTTACTTAGATCTAGAGAAAACAAATAACCAAAAAATACTATACACATATTTTTAAGCATGCTAAACATAACAAAGTACCAAAGAAAGGCACAGTTAATAACTAATACATCCAGTTTTGGTTTGGTTTGGTTTGTTTACTACAAATACTCACCTAAGGATGCACAAGCATATTTTGCCTCCTGATGTGAGTCTGCAGAATCCAAATCTCTGTTTACTTTCAATGTCTGTCAGTACAAAGGTAAAGTGCTGTCCAACTTGATTCTGAGATACTCTAAAATACAGCAATATTATAAAACTTTAATGTGTCTTTTGTGTGAGAATTTTCTTAAAGGAAAGCAAAGCGAGAATACATTCACATGCAGCACTGGTTTCACCTTCCTGATCAGTTGGTTCTCAAATCTAGAACTAGGTTCTAAAACTAAATTGAGTATGAAATGTGTAAACTAAATCATGAGCTGAATATTACAATACGTTGTACAGGCTGAGCAATTCAGCACATATGGACTAACCCCTTAGTAGGGAATCATAAGGTATTTCAGAGTAAGTTGGCACATGCCTAAAAGTACTTACAACATAATTCGTAAGTCTGAAAATACTATCACCGAGATCGTGGAAGTGAGAACCGAGACATGATGACCGATTCCGCTCAACTCCAGCCTTGACTTTCATGATTTTATTTCAAGACTGCTTAAATAGCAAATCAGGTTGCTTTTGAATCCAATGGCAGCCACCACCGACTCTGTTTAATTGCTTCTTCTGTTGACATTCTCACCCAGTAAAATACCATAAAAATTACTATGGGCATTTCTTTAGCATTCTCTTCAAGAGCTACCCTATCCTGAGAGTAAATTTCCAAGCACAAATTAAGAGTTCAATTTCTACAGAAAAGCTTACTATGAGGAATTAAGTGAACTGTGACCGGAGTATCAGGCTGTCATACATAGTTTGTGTCATACTGCAGTGTAAGGTGCAATGTAAACCATTACACTGAATCTTCATCACCATTTGAAATATATAAATACATTTCCTGTTACTGGCCATACTCTTGCCATTAGACAGTAACTATGAATATCTGCTTCTATCACACCGAAAATTTTGGTTTTGAAACAGCCACAGGAATTATGTAAAAAGAAGTAAGTTACTTTATTACTATCGTGCCAATACTACAAACTGTCTTCAATGGTCAGGAAACACTGTATTTCAGGTGCTGAACATTTACCAAGAACGCTTGTAAGAGAACAGTTTTGAAAACAATTTCGCAAACTTCAAAAACAACCTCTAGTACCTGATGTGCCCTCTAGTGCCCAATGTTCACAATATACTTTCGAGATCTCTTATTTTATCTTTGCTATTAATTTGAAAATTTTAACTTTAACAAGCACAGTTCACTCTCCAGAAAGGAGCTAAAACAAGGGGTATCAATATTTATTAGTATCAATTAGCCCATCATTCACAAGGCATTATCTTTAATAGTGTACAATTTCAGATTTTTACTCATCTTTACTTTAGCCAAAATATTTTCCAAAAATAAATTTTGCTTTAAAACCCATCGTATCATACTCTTAAAATAACTGATAATAGGGTGTGAAAATTACATGAAAAACAATAAATAATCCGGTTTTAGGCTCAAAGGCCCATATATTCTGTGAAATTCCAACTACACAGGTAATACTCTATTCATTCAGTATTTGTTCAGTAAAATACAAACATAATGAGATTTTTCAAAACTGTTTGGAGGGTTTCCCTGCAGCCTTCCATAATATTGCACTAATTCTATACAGCTATTCTTGGGAAACAACTAGTCATGGGTTTTACAATATCTCACAGATGGTCTTTTCATTTAGGGTGAAGTGAGATAGAAACCAGGATATATACATCTAATTTTAAAAGACACAATTCTAAGGCTCTGATTAAGGACACAGTAATATTTTTTTTTCTGCAGGTGCTTACAATATGTACCTGAAGAACAAAAGGAAGAAATGGAACCTTAAGACTTCTAACTGGCAGAGAAAACAAAAGACAGCGATGTAAAAAAGGCTACTTCTTTCCAAATATTATTTAATTTTTTTGTTGCGGTTAGAAGCAGTGAAGAGAAAGTACATTTCTTTTTATTAAGAAAACACGTGTAATAATTTTAAAGTGCTCACGGAGATAAGCTAAAGTGACTTTGAATGATGGCTTATACTGTACCTTTCAATGTCAAAGGGGAAACAGAACTTGGGCACACTCTGTAGTACTTCCTGCAAACGCAAATTAAAACAAAAAAAGCTTTAGAATATTTTAAAAGACGCAGTTAAAACTTTTTCTGAGACATTTGCTAGGGGGGAAAAGTTTGCTTTTTTTTTTTTTTCCTTAGGAAAAATAGCACAGGTTCCAAGACTAAAATAATTGATTATTAAAAAGGAATTAAGTTGGTGCTTTGGCAGATTGCACTGACAATGCCACGGAAACCCCAGGAGGGAAAGGCCTGGCCTGAAGGGTATTAACACCCTTCACATCCCCGCTGGGATTCCCTTCAACAAGGCCATATGGATTTTACAAGAAGCACCGCACCATATGGGTAAGCTACGTCTGCTGCTACTTGTACCACAGACTAGCCACAGGGACTTCTGACAGATTCTGGCTCAAAAATATAAATGTTGTTTCAATTAAAATGCAGGCAGAGAAAAGGGAATGAAGTTGGCAGCAGAATGAATTTCTGAGAGGTAAAACAACTCTACATGTCCCGTAGTAAAATGGTTAAAAAAAAAAAAAAAAAAAAAGGCTTTCTATAGATAAAGAAACACATTTATATGTTTTTCTAGGTGAATTCAACAAAAGTAACATCAAGTTTATCTCAAATAACATTCTTTAAAAAATGTGTATCTAAAAATAAGACTTTAAAACAACACAGCTTCTATTCTATGTACTCTGGTTTATGAATTGCCTCATATGAAAATCGATGTTTTAACTGAGCACAGAAAATAACCTATTGATTTTGAAACCTGCAGTAATTTTATAGTCATTGTAAAATAATTTTAAAAGCTTTTGGAAACCATACACGTTAACAATCATAATAAAGTACAAATAACTGTCAGACACTTGGCAAAAAGATCTATTTAGTTATAAACGAAAAACAACTGAATATTAACTCTGATTCTAAAATTAAACTTTAGAATTAAAGATAAGTTCAAAGCCAGGTGATTTTTACAAGACAAAGCAGAGATTTATAATAATGTTTCTTATTAAAAAGAAAAAAAAGCAACTATCTTCATGCAACAGTCGCCCCATCAAAACTACTACCTCTTTACCAATAAAATATACAACCAGAGAAAATATTAATATCTAAATATTTAAAAGCTCTACAGAAACATAATACTGAGTATTTTAAAGTAGAATCTATTAAGTTCTTGTAAACTATAGACTGCAATTAGGTATTAATTAATAATATAACACTGTAAAATTCCAATGGCAATACCTAAGAAAGCTTCAAGAGCCTTAAGACGCTGAAGCAGAAAGAAAAACATCATGTAAAAAAGCTATTTTCTACCTTTAGGGCAGGGTACCCTGGCTTGCTTATGCACACATACCTTTAAAAATATGAGCACAGACTCCATATTTAGAAAAAGCTGTTTTACTATTGAAAACATTCTGCTGAATGTAATTAAAAGATCCACTAAAGCTGAAATAATTTAAATAACTAAAACTGAAAACAGTTCATTTGGCCATCTAACCCTTGTCTTGTGCTACAGAAGTGAAACCATTTACCAGACCCACTCCGCATATGAACACTGTTTTGATATCCCCCCCAAAGTTCATATAATTTCTGTAACAATAGAGATATTCCAAACTCATTGTCTGCTTCTAAATATCCCCAAATCAGTAATATATTTCACATCAATTTTTTTTAAGACTCAAATTAAGAAGAATGTTTCCCAGTTAGTTGCTCCATCTTTCACACCCTCCCTCTCCCTCCTTCCACACGCAACACACAGGCACACACTTCTGCAAAACAGCCTCAGCTCGCTTCCCAACTGGCAGAAGCATCCCTCAGGGGACAAGTCTTTAAACCTCTGCACTCTTTAAAATTCAACCAGCCAGCAGGTCTATAGACTAGTGTATAAACAGTATAGACAAAAAAATCCTCTCTCAGCTTATGTCAGTGACAAAGCAACTCAGCAGTTGACTGTTTCTCCCCTGACAGTATAAGCTGGGTTTACACAGATCAATAGCTGAAAGTCCTACCTAGCTCCCAGGGCTCGGTTTTCTTCCTTAATTACAGGTGCTATTCAAACTGAAGTTAAAAAAGAGAGAGTTGAAGGGAGGAATAAGACACATGCAAATGGGTTTTTTTTGGATCCTTTCAGCAATAATGTTAATTGAAAATTATACTTTTATATGAATTGGAAGTGTTCATAAAGTCTGATACTTCCATCATAAAGTGATTTTGATATCACTCACACACACACACACACACACACACACACACAGTTCTGGATTGAGATTCATAGATTATGTGAAAGATTTAAGATCATACTCTTCCAAAGCTATGTTTCTGTTTTCTACAGGCTTTGTTTTCAGGAAATACCTAATTTCCTTGGCCAAGAAAAATTATTTGAATTTTCTGGATCATCCTAAGTCTCTAAAATATTTTATTTTTATACAAAAGAACACATTGACTAAAATGTCAAGTGTTAAAATATAGTAATAACAAAAGAATGACGTAGAATATACAATTATGAATAGCAAAAACAAAGGGCATAACACATATACATACATATGCCCTAAAAACAACACATCTACAATCCTTTAAATGACTGGAAATAAGGACTGATGAAAATTTATACATTGGGGTGGGTGTTTTTGGTACTATATCCCAGATTTATATTAATAAGCATTACAGTCAAATAAGAGAAGAGAGTAAACTGCTAGTGTTAGAGCGGTTTATTAACTCTTTATCCCATGAGGCTACTGTTCAGCATTATAAATTAATCAAATAAAAGGGGGGGAAGCATTTAAGAATCTACTTTTTAAAAAAACTAAAATATGTAGAGTTTACCTCCTAATGAAAGTTCAATCATTACAAAGGTCCTGGAATTTCTCAGAGAAAAAAAATCTAACAAAAAAAATCTAAGATGAAATGAGTCATTGTTGACATCAGTAATTGTTTTTCCTCTTTCTCCACCACTTCTTTCCCTGCCTCTAAAGTTCTCTTCCATGCCAATAAGGGATAAATGCCTAGTCCGTTTCATTTTCACCTATGTTTCCAGTACAACTACCAAATCTTATAGTATTATAGTTTAGATATTTCTGACTCAAGGATTATATATTTAACTACTCCCTAGTATCAATTACTGACACCTCGATTTCAGAATGTGCAAAATTGAAGTAATTCTTTTAGTTGTAGTCCTTATCACCTAGAACAGCAGCACCATCTACCCAGTTACCCAAACCAAAACACAGTGGTTGTCTAGATTCCTTCCCTTTCCTGATTCCCAAATAAAATCAGTCATTCATTAAGTCCTCTTAATTCAATCTCATAACTACCTTGCTCCAGAGATTCTCAATGGGAGGGCAGTAAGAATTAGAAAGAAGACAAGGTGTTAAGAATCACTTGGGAGGGTTCTTCAAAATACATTTGATAGCCTACACTATAGACACTTAAGAGTCTTGACTCTAACTTAGTTTGAAACTATCCGTAACTAAGGAATAAGACTAACTGTATCAGTTAAGGGTGTTTAATATATAAGGAATAGTTATTCTCTCAGTGCAAAAGTGACAAGGTAGAATTGTTCAGGACTGATTAATTCAACATCTTCTTTAAGGACTCAGGAATCTGCTCTCCTTCTGCTTTGCTGTCCTGAGTTTGTCGGATTTGTCCTTAGCTTCCTCTACTCATGGTCACAAAATAAGCTGCCAGAGTTCAGCATACCACTCGAAGATACAGCAGTGCCCAGTGAAAGAAGCATTTCTTTCTGTTATCTCTTCTTATCAGTGAGGAAACCTTTCCCAGAAGCCCACAGGCTGACTTTCCCATTATATTTAATTAGCCAGAAGGTCATAGCCACCCCTAAACTAATCACTGGCAAGGGAAATGGTTATCTATGCTTAGCTTAGCCTTGGAGTAGTTAGAAAAAAGTCAAAATTCAAACTTACTCATTTTCCACTAACCATGAGGCATGTGATTTTATATAAAGAAGCTGAAGTATCAGATTTTCTTTCTTAAGACTCCTCACAAAAATTTTAATCAAGTAATTAAATTGATACCGAAGCTCTCAGGAAAAATATAACACAATATTATATAAGAACAGTTTTCAAATATCCATAATTTCATTCATTTCAGTAACACTTTCAAAATCATTCTGTAACAACAAGGGGGCTATCTGTCAAATCTAATTTTTCACCAAGGCCATAGAATTCTACAAAGGTAATTCCTTAAATTTGAATGTTATCTCCCCAAATAAGTGAAAATTACTTAATACTATGAATTCAATCTGTTTGTGCTTTACATGAGGGGAATCACCTTTTTTTCCTCAAAAGAAGCATGCACTAAGCTGCTTAGTCACAAGCAGGCTGCACAGGGCAGAGCTGGATTCCCACACTGTGCGGGGACATGCGTCAGGGCCCCAGAGCACACTCATGGGGGCACCACAAGATGCCTTACTTTTCAAGGGAAATACAGCTATACTAATAGGGTGATTAAGTCAGATTGAGTTTTATTACAAGGTAAAATTACATTAATATGGTAGGTTATACATAGAGCCTCCTTAGACACCAGCTTCTCGCATTTTTAAAGAAGTTTGTTAAACTTAAGAGAATGAATTTTAAACATAAAGCTGAGGAATAACCGTCAGTATAAATGAATCCACTGTGGAATTTTTCTCTTGGTATTTACTTTTATGTACTATTTCAGTTAAAAATAAATTCCTCTTTCATCATTCCTCCTTAAATTAGGGAAAGCACAGCACATCTGAATTCTGACACTAAAACTACATAGGCTGGGAACTCTGTCCAAGTTATTTTTCACTTTCAAAAATTAAAAATAGGGGCACCTGGGTGGCTCAGTAGGTTAAGCGTCCGACTTCGGCTCAGGTCATGATCTTGCAGTTCGTGGGTTCGAGCCCCACGTCAGGCTCTGTGCTGACAGCCAGCTCAGAGCCTGGAGCCTGTTTCAGATTCTGTGTCTCCCTTCTCTCTGACCCTCCCCTGCTCACGCTGCCCCTCTCTCTCTCTCTCTCAGAAATAAATAAAACATTAATTT